TCCCTTTAATTAGTAATTCATGTTAGTAAGTTAATATAATATTGTTAAAAGTAATTTTATTTAAAAAACAATTAGATAGAATTAATTTAATAGAAGTGATTTTTATGAAATTATTATATTAATTTAATAACATTTATTTTTTATACATAAAAAAAATCAAAATACAAATTTGATAACTAAAATATGTTAAAAGGTTAACGTATGCTGCTGGTTGTCAACTATTTTCATATAATTATAACAATTAAGACTTCCCTAATTATTAAATATTTTTTACTTTACCTCAAATTGTGTATATATTTATTTATTGGATTTCGGTTTTTTTTAATGTAACATTTATATAAAATGAAATCTCAATAATAATTAAAAAATATGAGAGAAAGAGTTTAAATAATTAAAAAGAAGGCCATGGAATTTTGATGTCAAAAGTTCTCACTAAAGAGAATTCAAGTAAAAATTTCAATTGAGATAATACATTTTTTTATTTTCCCATTATCATAAACTTAGTAGTGACAGAGTTTAGTATGTACAAAATTTTAAAATTAAATCTTGTTAGTTTTATTACAAACACACACAAAAAATATTTTTAATTTTGTACCTTTTGATTGGTCTAATAATTGAGGTTGTTGTTTTAAATCTTGTCGTTAAGTGTTTGAGGTTAGATTATCTATTGTTAAATCAATCTATTGAATAAGGTCATTAGTTTCTTAAAGTCTCTTCCCTTTAAAAGTTAAGAGTCTTGAAAATATGTATCATTTACTTCTTAACAGATAATTTGTATTGGTTGATAGAGTAAATTGATTACTTGGAAACCTATTGTCAAAAGACATGTAAGAAGAATAGTGACTAGATAGTTGATCTCACTAAATATACAAAAAAAAATTAAAAAAATTAAGAGGTGAGAATCTTGGATAAAAATTAATCATTTATAAATGCTATCTTGGATGAGGATGTTATCTTAATGATAAAGAGATTATAAAAAATGTTGAAAAGAAACATTATAGAATTTTTATCATTATGGAGAACTTTTTAAATTCTCTAGCTCGAAGTTGTTTGAGACAATTGTGCTCAAACAATTGATACCAAAATAAAATTTTTATCTATAACCTCTAAGTAATCTTAGACCAATAGTAACTTGTACTTTTACCAATGATAGGTACGTAAACTAATGATAGGTAAGTAAACTAATGCATTATTATTCCAAGTTGACTCCATTTTTAACAATCAAGCATCGATACATTTATTATGTCATTAGAATATTATTATTATGCAAGTATTCAATGAAAAAATGCAACCTTTATTAAGATTTAAGAAATTAAACAAGAATTCATCTCAAAATATATTTGATGAGATTTTTATTTAACTTATTATTTTGTAGATATTCATTTAAAATCTTGACATATTTTATGCAAATATAATTATTATAAAATTACAAATAAAGTTAAAAAATGTTATCTATAAAATATATATAAAAAAAAAATTATTTTCATTAAAACCTAAAAGATGTGATTGAAACTAATAAACTTCATGAACAAGTAAAAGAAATGCCTAAAAGGTATATATTAATACATTTTTTTTATCTTTCTCTCTTTGAGATAAATAATTTTAGCAAAATATGCAAATTTTTATTTAATTAAAAATTAGTGAAAATTTGATTTCCTTTTGAAAATTTATATATATATTTTTTTGGAAAATCAAAATAAATATTAGAAATGAAATAATTTTAAAATTAAAAAAATCATCATACGATAATTATATCAAAGATGCAATTCTAATACTTTAGGTTACTGTTCCACGCAATTTTCCCAAATTAGAGACTGGATTGCTAGAGAAAGAGTATCCAAATAAAACTATTAAAGGTCACCTACCCAACCCTACCATATTCATGCTGGAAGAAAGCTCTAGAATCATTAAATGCAAGAAATAATAATTTACTTCAAACGTTTTTGTCCTGTTTCAAGCATTAATTAATTTGCATATCTGTTCATTACTATTTACGTCAATTAATGATTATCAATAATATTTGAGTAACCTAATCTTAATTGCTAGGAACACTGCACGAAGTTTGAGTCGAATGATGTTTCCTTACTCGTTTGTAACAGAAAAAGATGAAAACAACTTTGCCCCTTTCATTTCTTCCTAAAGAACAAAGAGTGCCCATAGTTTTTTACACCTTGTCTGAACAAATTTCACAAGAGTTGCGTGAATCCAAAGAAAGTTAGTTCATCATCCTGAAAACAAGCTCAAAATATGGGAAAAGTGAATAACTGAGCTACCTTATACACCGGCATTCGTCGTCATCCCACGTTCAAAGTGGAGAAGCACGAGTCTGTGCTATACGTTAAAGTTTGAGGACGCTCCCTTTAATTTTTCCTATTTTCTTCTCTCTTAGACACGTACCTTCAACACAAGGGTTTATAAAATGGGTTATCGATTTGAATGAGTTTAATAAGGGAGGATGTATTGGATTATGATTTTAAAGAACCTTTTTAGTTGAAAAAAGTTATGTAGATTTTAAAAAATTTTGCAGGATTTTCATGACTTTTAAGATTTTGTAAGATTTTACAAGACTTTCAATCAGGATTTTAATGGATTCCGCGGGACTTTTAAGTTAAGATTTTAATAGATTTTACAGGACTTTGTAAACTTTGCAAAATTTTGTAGATTTTTGACATACGATAAGAGTTCAAGAATTTTTTTTCATACATTCAAATTTAAAAAGAGTCAAAAATAAAAATAATAAATATAATAATATTTGGATAAATAATAATAATAATTCTTCGTAATATCATGTCCTTCTAAATAGCATTCACCCACATATTCATATCTATATCAATCCTCTAAGCATTGGCATATTTTCACTCTTGCTCCTGAGTTTTAATAATAAGCTTAAATTATGATTTTCATTAATCGGTAATGTTGAAGATGAAGGTTCGTCTACCACTCTAATTGAAAATTCATTAGAATAACATTCTTTACAAATAAAATTATATAGTGTTGTACATGTTAAAAATTATTCTAAACAACATTTTAAATTTTTTATAATTTGTGATTTAAAATATTTGTTTATAAATTTATAAATGATTAAAAAAATAGTAGGACAGTTACCCTACTCTCTTATAACTAAATATGTCCTTTCATTCTATATTGGTATTTGAGTGAAAGTTTGTCTTTCATACACTTTTATTCATTTAAAATATCTTAGAAATTTACAAACATCAACTAGGAGAAAAAAAAATTTGAAATTTTTTACAGGTACAAAATAATTTTTGTAATTTTTTAATTGCTTTCAATTATTCACTCATGAAGAAATATTTTTAGTATTAAATTCTAAGATATTACAATGTCTTATGTTAATTTTATTTTTTAAAATATAAAAAATCCTAATTTCACAATATAAAAATTAAAAAAAAAATTCATAGTAAAAAAAAAGAAATAAAATAATTATTGAGTCATAAAAGGAGAAGGATAACATTAACAAATTCAAGAGAGGGAGAGAGATCGCAATTTTTGTGCTGAGACAGTTCTTTCCCCAACTAAGATCCATTCTTATCTCATTCTACTCACAGAAACCCTAACTCAAATTCATCTTTTATATATTTTTTTTGTTCTAATAAATCTTTGATTACAAGGTCTTGAAGATCTATAGCTAATTATAAAGATCATGATATCAATTTTAACTTTCACCTTTTACTTTTCTTAACGCGTGTTATAAAAAAATTTATTATTTAAAAATTGAAATTTCAAGCGTTTTATGTGTTATATAACTGAGGAACAATCTCAACTAAATAGAGCAAGTTAATTAAAGAGAACGGAGAAAAAAATAGAGCAAGTCAATAAGACTATCATTTATGTATAGAAGTTTCACCAAATAGGGAAATGAAATGAGAGTAGTAGTACAATATTATATATGAGCAATAGTGCAGTATTATTAGTAAGAGAAAAAAATGGAGAAGACATGAGCATAGAAAAAAAAGAGATGAAAAGTCACTTCAAACAATCTTCCAAAATTTGATGGGTTTAGATGTGATTGTTTTATGAATTTGATATTTATAGATACCACTAAAAAGTCCTTCAAAATCTTTCTGATACAACAATCCTTTAAAATTTCTATATTTTTGAATATTAATGGATTGTTTTAAGTTGTAAAAATTCTCAAATGATACCTATGAATTTTAATGGACTCTTTAAAAAATCTTGAAAATCCATATTAAATACCATTGGATTATTTTTAAGTCACATAAAATCTTGATCGAATACTAATAAACTTTTTTACTAAAATAAATCTTTTAAAATTCTATGAAATTCTAAACCAATACACCTAACAACCCTTCTAAATCAACTGTGTGTACCAAAAACTATAGGTAGGTCCGAGAGATCATATCCTTCTTTCACACTTCCAAAGATTAACATGTGATTTTCGATAAAAAATAACCCGGCTTTGCTAAAAAGTATTTAATTAACATAACCGACTTTCCGATCATAACAATTATTACATAACTTGTATTCAAATTAGTAACCTTCTACTGCCAGCTAATTTACAATAATAAAGATATGTGGGCACTCAAATGTTAACCTACATCACGTGAAAGAATGAAACTGAAGAAACAAAAGTGACATGATGAAATAAAAAAGAGAAAGTTAAGAAGTGTGAATTAAATGTTTATACTGATTAAGTATGCATCATTGTTGAATTTATAGTCTCGTTCTAAATTTAGATAGATTGATAGGTTCCTCTGTACAATTACTAAAATAAATAAATATTGCGCACTAGTCTTACACCTATAATTGCGGTAAAGACAAAAAAAAAAAATTATCGCTCTAAATTTTACACGGTTTGAAGATTAAATATTTTTCATACTTAACTATTTAATTTATTAGTATTATAGAGAGAAATAAACACGAATTAGTATCGATACAGTGATATAAAGTGAAAAATAAAATATTAATGTGTCTGAACGAAATATTATTTTAAGACGCGGGCATAAATATAAAAGTGAGTGCAAAATTTGAAACGTAAATGTTTATGGTGAGAGCGGAGAAAAAGAAGAGTGTGCGAGAGTGAGAGGAAGACAGGCTCCCACTTTGTTTGATAAATGCTAAATTTGAGTCTGTTATCCAATTTAAGGTGTTTCCTTCTCTGAACTGACGCACTAAGCAATTACAAAGTAGTATTGTTGTTGTTGTTGCGTTGCTTTGTCACCAAAAAATGAGTGGTGAGCAAAAAGAAAAACACGACACACCTTCCTCCAAACCAACCGTTTCTCCTCCACTTCACAAGGTACATACAAACATCATACTATGTTTCTGCCCCTTTCATTCAATTCCCTGTTCATGTTGATGTTGTGTTTTATAGGTGCGTGATCCAATGGATGAAACTGAAGGTTCGCGTGTTAAAACTGATAGTCATTGGAAGAGACAGAATCTTGAGCTGGAAATACCCCGAGAGTCTTCTTCTCAGGATTTTGTTCCGATAAGGTTGCCACTCACACCAAGTCCAACTCCTAGTCATAAAAAAGTGAACTTTCTCGTGACTTCTCGCTCTGTTGATGCTCCAAGGCCTTCATCATACAGAGGCAAATCTTCCATGAGAAGCATATTACCAAAATTGGGGTTCAGGAATCGGCCATCGCTTGATGTTGAAAAGGCTATTCCTG